TTATCCAGCCTGCTGAAAAATGGCATATGTTTTCAAAAACTCTGGATCTGACCCCGTCCCATTAGTCTTCTTCCTATCATAAGCAAGGTTTTTGAATCTTTAATAAACAAACACTCATTTTCTGATCTTGAATCCATTAACTTCTTTTCTGATCATCAATATGGATCTTGATTTTCTCAATCTGCAGCTGATTTGCCAACAGTAATAACCAATAGGTTTTATCGTGCATTCTATCTTGTCTTGTATCTTGACATTTCTAAAGTTTTTGATAAAGCTTGGCATACTGGTCTTCTTCATAAGTTTTCTGCTTACATTTTATCATGTAACATCTTAAATATTATTAAATCCTTCCTTACCAATCGTAGTATAAAAGTTGTCATCGAGGACAGTTCTCTTCTTTGTATCCTGTAACTTCAGGGGTTCCTCAAAGTTCTATCCTTGGCCGTATACTCTTTAATTTACATCAACAATCTTCAAGAAATTCTGACATTTAAGGTAGCATTTTTTGCTGACGCTACTACCATTTGTTCTTGTTTTGATAAGAAGCCAACACTCTCTGGTTGCTTGGAGGGGGCATTTGAGCTTGAAAAAGATATTACTTCTGCTACAGTATGGAGCTTTTAGTGGCTGGTAAGCGATAATTCAGATTTATCTTTTTTTTTTTTTAGGTAATCGTTATTAATATGTAGATCTTTCTATATTTATGAACGGTAATGTACTTAAAGAGTTATCTTCATTACCATACCTCCAACCATAATCCAACCGTAATGTTACTTCTCATTCTTTTTTCTATAAATACTACGATGGGCACTGCTTTAAAGAGGTAGCGTCTCTTGTACCAACTAAAATTCGTTCTCAAGTTACTCGTCATTCAATTAAGTCTCATCCTTTTATTGTGACTTTTCCTAAGTGCTCCAAAAATTCTTATTTGTCTATTTTTTTTCCTCAAACATCAGTTCTTTGGATTTTGCTTCTTTCATCTTGCTTTCCTGATTTATATAATTTTCAATCTTTTAAATTGTCTGTCAACCATTACCTTGCTCTATAAATTTCATCTTTTCTTTTCTAGTAACTTCTAACTCTAATACTAGTTGCTTGCAGCCTTGTTGGAAGTGAAGATTTTAAAAAAGAAAATCATCTGTAAAAATCGTTAACAAAAAACATTTCATCAAATAAAATCACAAAAAACTCAAAAACAAAAGTTATAGTCTTATTATACGATACAAACCAACCTAATCTCAAAGTCTCGAGTTTTCAGGATTGTATGGATTGTCAATTAAAATAGTTTCAACTAATTTTTTAGTATTAGAAACAAGCCACAATAATCTACTTTTTGCACAACAACGCACAGTGGGCTAGAATTGTCTAAAAATGACAAAGCTATTGATGGTTTAAATAAAGACATATAATACATGTTTGTAGTTACATATTTATATTATATTACATGTTTATGTAACATTATTTATTTAAAATTATTTGTGTAACATTATTCATGTAACATTATTTCTGTCTAATCTTGTGATCTTAGTGTTGATGGTTATCTTCCTTTAACTTGTAAAGACTCCAATAGTCACATGCTTGGCCTGGGCATTTACATTTGTAAGATTTCACCCATTTGTCGGGAAAAGTAGGTTTGAATCCACAGACTACTCTTTTATGTGCTTTCGTTCAGCACCACTTCACTCTATCACCTTTCTCTTTGTTCTATATCGCTCTCCCTCATTTCAAGACTGCCCTCTTCTTGATGTTATTTCTGATTATATTGACCAAGCCCTCATTCTTTATCCATTAGCCAATATTGTTGTTGTCGGTGACTTTAATGTTCATCACACTGAATGGCTTGGCTCAAGTGTCAGTGACTCTGCAGACATAAAGGCCCACAACTTTTGCCTTTCTCAACTCCTAACTCAAATAGTCAACTTTCCAACTCGCTTTCCAGACAACCCGAATCATTTACCTTCTCTACTTGACCTATGTCTTGATTCTGATCCTAGTCAGTGCTCAGTTTCTCCACACTCGCCCTTAGGTGCTTCTGATCATGGTTTGGTCTCTCTAAAACTATTATCTCATTCTTCTTTACCATCAGAATCCCCCTATCATTGTACATCTTACAACTACCTTAAAGCTGACTGGGACTCTTTCCGTGATTTTCTTCGTGATGGCTTCTGGGTAAAAATATTTCGTCTTCCTGTTAACAAATGTCCTTTATTCCCTCTCAACGATTTCAGGTCAAGCCTCATTCTTCTCCATGGTTTTCCTCACATTGTGCTGCTGCAATTGCCAATCGAAACCATTACTTCCATATCTATCAGCAAAACAATTCTCTAGAAAACAAACGTCTGTTTATTACTGCTAGGAACCATTGTAAAAAGGTTTTGTCTAACGCCAAAGCCCGCTATTCTCAGATCATGAAATCTCGTATTTCATTACAAAAATTGGGCTCTCGTGACTTCTGGAGAATCTTTAATAGTATCAATAATAAGGGCAAGTAATTGTAATTCCACCTCTTTTGTATAGTTCAGACTTTGTCACCTCACCTAAAGACAAAGCTGAATTGTTTGCCAAGAAATTTTCATCAATATCATCTCTTGATGCCACTAGTTGCGTTCTACCTGATATAGCCGTCAAACAGGTTGATCCATTGCTCGACATTCGTATCACTCCAGCTTCTGTATCTAAAGTGATTTCTCGCTTAGACTCTTCTACAGCTTGCGGCCCGGACAACATACCTGTTATAGTCTTGCAGAAGTGTTCTCCGGAGCTGTCATCTATCTTTTCAAAACTATTTAACAAGTGCTTCTCAGAGTCTTGTTTTCCAGCCTGCTGGAAAGCAGCATCTGTTATCCCTATTCTTAAAAATTCTGGAGAGCGATCCGATTCGTCTAACTACCGTCCCATTAGTCTTCTTCCTATCATAAGCAAGGTTTTTGAATCTTTAATCAACAACACTTAATCTCTCATCTCGAATCTCATAACCTACTTTCTGATCATCAATATGGATTTCGCTCTTCTAGTTCTACGGCTGATTTGCTATCAGTAATAACCGATAGGTTTTATTAGATACCGATAGGTTAAGGCTTGACATTTCTAAAGCATTTGATAAAGTTTGGTATGCTGGTCTTCTCCATAAACTTTCTTCTTACGGTGTATCTGGAAACATCTTTAAGATTATTGAATCCTTTTTTTCCAATCGTGATATAAAAGTTGTGCTTGATGGACAGCACTCTTCTTCTTATTCTGTAACCTCAGGGGTTCTCCAAGGTTCAATCCTTGGCCCTATACTCTTTTTAATTTACATTAACGATCTACCAGATATTCTCACATCTGAGGTGGCATTGTTCGCTGATGATACTACCATTTTTTCTTGTCACGATAAGAAGCCAACTCTCTCTGATTGCTTGCGGGGGCATCTAAGCTTGAAAAGGATCTCACTTCTGCTACAGCATGGGGCTCAAAGTGGCTGGTGAACTTTAATTCAGATAAAACTCAATTTTTTTCGGCCAATCGTTATCGCAATAGTTTAGACCTTCCTATATTTATGAACGGTATTGTACTTGATAAGTCTCCTACCCTTCATCTTTTAGAATCAACTCTTACTTCTGATCTTTCTTGGAAACCTTATATCAAATCCGTTGCAAAATTAGCATCTGCTAAAGTTGCTTCTCTTTATCGAGCTCGTCACTTTCTTACTCTATTCTATTCTCTATCTCTATAAATCTCAAATCCGGCCTTGTATGGAATACTGTTGCCGTATCTGGGGTGGATCTTCTAATGATGCTCTTTCTCTTTTAGACAAGGTGCAAAAACGCATTGCAAACATATTTGTTCTTGCTCTTGCAGCCAACCTTCAATTTCTATCACATCGTCGTAATGTTGCTTCTCTTTCTCTTTTCTACAAATACTATAATGGGCACTGTTCGAAAGAGCTAG